ATGATTTAATGTATTCACAAATTTTTCAACTTAAAAAGGTGCTTAAAAGATGGAGTCAATCATTACCACTTTATTGAAAGTGGTATACAAGTTTCTTAATTTTTTTTAAAGTCTGTAATTTGGAACACAGATGTGGGTAGAGCATATTGGTGTTGAGAGGCATGGCAACAAGACCCAAAAAGTTCTTTAGAAATCATGACCAATGTAGGGCAGGTTCAGGCCCACTCACACCCATCCCAATGGTTTATTGTGTGAACACCTTTAGTGCCTCTGTTATTCTAATAATAATACATGTCTGTAGTTCATTCTTAAACATGGGTGAGGAATGTCTGCCTTATGTTTTTGACCAACTTCTAGAAGTCCCTAATACTGTGTATGATGGCTAGGACTTCTAGGAGTAAGTCCAAACATTATCAAAGTTTTCCCAACCCTGTACTAAAAGGCTACTCTTATGTCCTAACAAGCCAAACAACAGACCTGGCAAGTAGGGAAGCTACTTTGTGTGTAGCATGGTGATGGCAGTATTAAATAGTTATCTACAATGTGTATGTTGTAGGTGCTTAACACCTAGTACAGTGGTTTTCAATCCTTGCTTCTCCAGATGTTTTGGACTTTCAACTCCTAGAAGCCATAGCCAGCAGCAAAGGATTCGGAGAGCTGACCTCAACTACTGACCTAAGAGAAAGATGAAACACACTGCAATATTGGACAGAGTGGAACCAGAATGAGCTGTCTTCCTCTGAGCTAAGTGGCAAAGCAATGGTATGTTGGACTTCCATGGAACCAACAGTGTTGTTACAATGTCACATGGTAATATTTGGCAATAAACTTTAATATGGAGATGCAGCAGTCTCTCCAGGGTACTGCTATAGATCAGCAGAAAGAAATACGTCTGGCATTGCAAAACTTTGGACAGGGAGGTAATTGCAGTTTTAAAATGCACTGCTGAATATGTACCATGCCTTGCTTGCAGTAAATGGCTCTTTTCCATGCAGTTCCTTAACCTAGCGGTTCTCACACTTTTTACTCTTGTCACCCCCTTTACATCTACATGCTGATATCACACACACCCCTCAATATGAATACAAATATTTTGTTTGTTTAGTGTGTGCATTTTTGCTTGCATATTCATGAATATACATGAATATATTCATGCAGCAACATCTGGTCCCAAGAACCTGGGCAGTGATGGGATGGCTGGAGGAAGAGGAAGTGGCAGCCCAGGATAGGCACCACCAGAGGCCATGATCCAATAAGCTTCTCCTTCTCCTCCTTCAGGCAGAGGCGGCTGCTCCATGTACCTTCCTTGTCTTTCTCTTCCCCTCCAGAACAGAAAAGGTTTGGGAAGCAAAGAGAAAGAGGAAGGGGGGTTCAGGGCTTCCAAGTCTGCACTTCCTCAGGGGTCCCACCTTTTGATTATTGTTCATATTTATTGAGCAGTACTGTATACTAATAAGAACTTTTTTTGGAAAAAAAAATAGAAATTAATTGACAGGGCCCTGGACATTCAAATCCATATTCTGCACAAAATATCTCCATCTTGGTACACTCCCCCCCCCCAAATATACAGGTATACTTCAGTATGCAAAAGGATGCTGTAGCACCTTTGAGATTAATTGAGAGAAACAGAGATGCATCTGAGGAAGTAGACTACATCTATTAAAGTGCTACAATTTCTTTCTCTCAGTCTCAAAGGTGCTATGAGATTTCTCTGCATCCAGACTAACAGGCCTATGTCTTTGAGGTGTATTACTGGGCATCACTTTGTTAACAGAAACTTTTGGTACCAGAGCCAAAAATAACAGGGAAAGAATAGGGACAGGGATCCCACAAAAAGAGGGAGTAGTTCATCATGTTTAAATAAACCTTTCATTCAAAATGAACAACAGGCACATGTGAAATGAACCAACAAGGTCAGGTAAGTCTTGCATAAGTAAAGTATTTTGAATCTTCTAGGGCCCACCTGAAAGTTATTTCCAAAATGCATCCAATTATTATTATTTTTCTTTCTTTCACCAGCTTCCACTTTTCTTATGATTTCTATTTTGATAGCCAGAACTATGAGGCAACCTAAGTGTTTTTCCTTTTGCTCTCTGTTTTGCTATTGACACATGCTCAGGAAGGTATTCTGGAGGCAGCTACTGTTTATCTGTTGCAGGCAGGCACAGAGCTACAGTAGAGTCCCGTTCTTTTCCCAGATAAATCTTTATTGCATTGTTTACTGCAGACGATGCAATTGTTTCAAACTGATACGCAAAGTCTGTGTTTCTACAGTCAACCTTTATTATCCTTCCAATGCTGATGCTGCTTGAAAACCTCCAGCTAGACAGAGAACAAGGTAGAAAGTAGGAGGCTGGGCAGCTGTAAAA